CAAGTACGCAAAGAAACGTTGTCTCGGTTTTACACATGTTGAATCACATCACAGATAACAAGCCCATCAAACAATAACGACTTCTTACAGCAGATTACGAGGCGTTATACAATCGTATAAGGGTATCTATTTCATTATAACCCGGTATTTCAATACGAATTTTCACGTGGCAGACACGCAACGGCACCCAAAAGAGCAAGCCATTGTAAAGGTCACCACAGGATTTTGTGTAACCCGAAAATCAGGTGTAAGTTTAGCTACTGTAGCCTTCCAAGTAGTTGATTTCTAAAGACCATGAAGAGCGAAACCAAAGTCCCGGGCCACAGAACGGTCCATGGGTGTCACAGTGCTACAAAAAGGCACACATATTAACTACAGAAGAAAGCATACTGAAAACATTGCACCATTGTATCTCGAAGAACGTCTAAGGCGAACCTCTTCCTCGAGAAGTAGTTCGCGAAGGTACAGACTACTTGCTGTCAGTTGGGCGATCATTCACGCAGGCCGACTTGAGAAGAACCAGGTACAAACGCTAATTTGCAAAACTTTCAAAGAAGGACGGCAATGTCTTCAGCCTGATCGGTAATTGATGTGCATTCGGTATTGAAAAGTTGAAAAAGCAATCAAAACGCGCCAAGAGAATGGGCGGGTGGAGTCAATCACGAAAACGGCCAACCGCTGGTATGTATTTGGCTGAAAGAGCACGTGTGTGGTGACTAGTCACACATTCTGCATGATTCCATTAGCTTACCGACAGTTGGAAGAGTAAGTGCTTATCAGATTTGCATGCGGTTTTCAAGCATTGTTAGAATGCGGGTAAAGAACCTTTCCTGAATGTACCAATATATGTAGGAGAGGAATCGAATGGTTGCGCACCTTTGTGGCTGATTAAAACCCATTTTGCAGTGTGTGATGTAAAACCTGTGGGACACAAGGTTTGATTATTCATGCAGTGGTACAGGACAGTACCCACAACCCAAGGAGACGTGACACATTGGAGAACGAGGGACTTCCTAGGATCATAATGAACTAACATTGGTGATGAGGAGAAGGCTTAATTGGTTTTGTTTAACGCAGTGCTTTGCCGAGGACCCAAACCCCACTGCACTTTTTATGGAGTAACTCATTCAAAAGATAACATAGTGGATGCATACGGCAAGAAAAGGCGGTAATCAGATAGCATTCACAGAAACGTATGGATCGCTTCAATGTTTATCGGTTCAGAGCTTTTTAAAATGAGTTTTATCTACCGAACTAGAACATGTAACCCAACCTTCTCAAACCTATATCCAAGAGAGTACATAGATGAAGGAAGGAATTCACACGTAGACCTTCGCAATTTAAGTCTGTTATGCGTCAATGTTTCAAGCACAACAGTGTTCGTAAGTGTTCTGCGTCGGAGATATGAATATCATCCAAATACGCGTAAGTGAAAGGTATATTCGTTACTAAATCATCAATAACCCTTTGAAAGATTTCGGGAGCAGGGTTGATGTCAAAAAACAAACGGGTGTATAGGTAAAGTCCTGTGTGATAGTTCTCGAGAAGGTTCATCATGCTCTATTTGTGAATAGGCATGACTGGAAACTAGTTTAGTGAATTTTTCACCACCTGTAAGTGTAGCACACAAGTCTTCAATGCGGGCTAATGGATATCTGACTGTCATGGAAGACTGGTTGGCAGACTTCTTGTAGTCGCCGCGAATTCGCACAGAGCCATCCAGTTTGGCAACCGGTACGATTGACACCCCCAGCTAGACAAAAATGTATGGGTATTATAATCCCTTGAGTTTGGAAATGGTTCAATTCTTCTTCAACTTTGGGCCTTACGACAGACAGTAGTGTTTAGGCTATAATGAATTTGTGTTGGGCATTTTCCTGCAATCTTAAACTAGTTTATCTTCCCCAAAATCCTCCGCGTGTTGCTTCAAAATTTCCTTCAGTCCAACAATTTCATTAACTAGTTTAAGAACATCTAACGTGCAGATTTAGTAGAGCTTCCAATATTACATACAGAGGAAGTTTGTGTGTCTCAGTGCCATATTTTGCCTGGACAAGGCATTTACCGAGAACACGAAGCGACCCAGCTGTGTACGTTTGAAAGTGCATGATGACAAGAGAGTAAGTGTTTCACAGCGTTGATCCAAAGTATTCTCACCCACGCTCCCGTACCTATCTCCAGCAGCCTCTTCTGTCCTTGGACGTATAGTTCCACAGTGTATGGTGCTGAACGTAGAATGGACAGTATTTAGCCATACCGAAGGCAAGTCTGAATCGTTTGGTTCACAAAAATCCACCGCTTTGTTTGATGTTATTCGTGGTTTACGCAATTCCGGATTCCACTTGACTGACCTGCATACTCGTGTCAAAAGACCCTCCTTCCCACAACTTCGGCACACTGTTTTCTAATGTCGACATTCGGATGGGCATTCATGTTGATCACATCGGTAGCATACGAACTGTTTTATGTCCACGGATGTCCATTTTAGCTGTGCCGTCCTTTAACTGCACACTTTCGGATGTAGCCTGTAGCGTAAATGAGGACAGTTGCGTTAGATTGTCTCTATGACGAGCAAGTGACCGAGCAGTCTCCCAATTAAATGTATTGTCATCTTGCGAGAGGAATTTCTCCAGGGTATACTGTTCTGATAGGCCAGCTAGCAGGCATTGAAGTAGCGTTATTCCTTTGAATTTCGCCGGAACAATTCCATTGTATCTGGTATGTACGAGCAATGAACGCATTTACTTTCACTTTTGGGTTATGGTAGAGTTTGGAAAAAATGTAATTTGCCGTAAACACGTTTTGTCCAACACGTCGGAGAGCACTGAACTTATCAATGGTACTGGCTACAGTTACACAGACGTCGTCAATCCGAAGGGCGTCGAAGTATCGTCGACCTTCGTCACCAAGTTACTGTAGTGGTGGTTTGATCTTCTGTTGCTCTGCAAAAGACTGGCGAATTCAACATTGGAAGTAATTTCAGGTAGTCAGAAAAGGTTTTCCGTCATCGATTCCAGCTGGTCATAGGTGGTTTTTCTGTAGAACATGACCAGAATTGCGTAGGTGCACTCACGATGGATATGGTAATATAGATCGCCATATTAGTTACGGTAAATAAAAATTCGAGGGCGTATACTCCATAGCGCTCAAAACTATAGGTGAGGAAAACTAATCTCGACGGATTATGTGTAAGCAACAAATGGCAGGACATTTCGACATGCATTCCCTAGCGACACGATGAGACTGAGGTGCGTGAGTGCATAAATGTGTGGTGTCCATTCATCTGAGTGGCTTAGAGCCTGACACTCAGTGCGCATGTTGACAAGGTTCACCACATACCTATTGAGGTCGCGAATACCTGCTGTCTATCAACGATCTTTTGAGGCGAGCTACTTCGTTCGTTTTTGTACGACCGACGGTGGGTTTACAAAACGAAGTGTATGCAATCCGACAGCAGAAGGATAAGCTTTCAACTACGGGCAGCAGGCGTGTATGGGTTTCCAAGAAACATTCAAGTCTGGAATGTGCGTATGCGACACGCCTAAGGTCAGCTCCGGAGAGTATAAGTGTGTTTCTGCGCAACAGTTTCAATATCGACAGAAAATAACGAAGTGAATACATTCTGACGGACAGTCAATTTCTAAACAGCTGCAAGCAATCTTGCACATCAGATTGACAATATGACGGAGTAACTTGAAAGAATCAGGTGGAATTCGTCTTTTGAGAAATTTAAAGCAATTAGTTCCCCTCAACAATTTGAAAAGCACAATGAGAAGCCGAAGGTCGGCGAACGCATTCAGTTTATACCATCTCAGTATCGAAAACGATGATTAGGAATGAAATACAACCGTCAAGTGATGCAGTTTCGCAAATAAACTGAACTCATTTCCATACATCCAAGGCGATCTGAGACTGAAAAATTGCTGTTTTTGAACACAAAACTCCGGTTTGATTCAACTTATTGCAACAGCCTCGGCGAAGCGGAAGAGACGGGGATTGGTATGCCGAAACAGAACTTTGGATGACCTGAGACCAATAAGTGCCTGCCGGTCGAAGGTGCTGTCGGTCTGTGTGAACGCCTAGCCTGTTAGGTATGCTTGTTGAGCCGTCTCGTGTTGGATCCACATTGAAACGTGCTCCTTCATCCGGGAACTCAAGGTTTTATCGGTTTCGCTTATGAAATTAGCTCCGCAGTTACATACGAGCCAAAGTACGTAGTACTGGGCTGATTGCAGACGTTTTTCACGTACAACGCTTCGCCGGCACACTGATTCATTTCACGTCCGAATCCGTAACAGTTGAGTCGATAGAGACTCTATTAACTCTAGCATTCGGGGTCCACCAAGTGCCACAACATTTCGCATGCAGACGACTCATCGTGGTGATGCTATCTGACTATAATAGCGAATCTCCCCTCTTTCTTTTACATCGGATTCTCTCATACCCCTCCCGTCCCTATTACAATTATTCTAGACTTTTAGGCCATCATTCCCATCCACCCGAATGCAGCGAAAGTCGGTTCGTTAAGTGTCGAGGGAGAGTTTTTTGAGAGGTTACGGCATAATACATAGTGTTTGATGACGAACCTTAAGCGAGGTTGTCGACAGTGAGCTGTGGAGAGCAAAATGAGAAGTCAAATGCCCTAAATTCTGAAATTCGTCGCAGATTTAAAGTCGACTATCACATTACGAATAGGCCACAGATGAATATCTCAGTGGGCTTATTAAAAACAAAGCAGAAAAGGACGGAGAAGTAACGATAGCGCAGCAAATTCTTCTGCGTAGTTTTAATCTTGAGACGAGTCACATCTGAAACTACGTGGAATTAACCTGTGCAACAGTGAATTACTTGAAAGAAGTTTGGTGTGAGACCTGTGTAGTGAAGAGCGGATCGTGACAGGGATCATAAGCTCGTTGGATCAGCACTGGACATAACAACTGTAAGTTGAGTATTTGACTACCTTGATTAACAACTTTCAGGACCTAATTGAGTCTGATGCAAAAAAAGAGAGAATGTATAATGAATCACTCATCGTAAGGTGCGTTAACGCGACCGTATATGAAACCCCACAAAATGAAATGTAAACTACAAGCTAGGGGATTGAGGTCCGGATGCATTTCAAACAGTGTGACATTTTCTTTCATAACTAAAGACGTCCATTCGAGGAGTAGTGGGAGTAACATCAGTTCTAATTGGCACAATCGTTAAGTATCATGAGCTAGTAGATGGTTAAGGGAGTTGAACACCTGCCGAGGAGTATTCGGAACCACACAGAGAAGCGTTCAAGTTGAAATCAGTGAGTAGATGACAAGGTGAAACAAACAGGAACGAAAGGAGAACCAAATGGAGAACAGGGAACAAAAACAAGGCATGGGAGAAGTTTTTATTGTTAGAAATCATCTAGTTTAAAATGAAGCCAGAGAATGAACCGGTAGCAACGATGGCATCTCGAGTGAAAAACACCAAAATAATGTGTGTGTGTGTAAAAGAGTAATAGTGTCACAAATCGTATTAGCTACCTTTCCAACAAGTGCATACAGTACAGCGAGATATCCTTATGGTTTCTATCCAAAATGAACGGTATCGAGAGCAGCTCAGTGAAGCCTTCCTTCAGTGCGGGCGGAGTGTACTTGGATCTGTTGTGGTGGAGGCACAAGATAATGAAGGAGATAGATAACGCCACTCATTATCAACACACATTTTCCGAGGGTGAGAAACACACCTCAGCTAATGTGCTGCAATACAAAAAGTAAGACATTAAGCAATGTAAACTTAAGAGCGATAAAAAAGCAACAGGATGGTAATGTCACAGTTGTGATCGTTGCTGGAGGGGGAGCCAAATGAAAGGGACAAAGAGACTCACAATACAAACGCCACTGAGGTCGACTATTCGCCATGTCAGCTAGTGTATCCAACCAAGCGTGTTTATCATCTTTCGGTCCAGGCCTAGACAGGAAAACGATTAGGGTTCCCAACCAAAGCTTTTGGCTTAAAGATCTGACCGCAAGGCAGTGGGGTTTTGGCACTGAAATACAGAGAGCCTGTTTTCTAGAGTAAGGAGCCACTCTCACTCCAATCTAGAGGGTCATGAGACAGTTTGTCAGGCCATTGGCCAATCTGACATAAGTGCCTTTGAAGGTGCAAAAGCACCACCCATTATAGCCCAATGGATCGCTGAGGCACACAAACCATCACATCACATTAAGATTCAGTCTCGTCGCGATGGGGATAAAACTGCCAATAAGAAGGGAACGCCATGTATGACAAGGACGGAAGGCGAGTTAAACAAGTATCAGAAATAATTGGGGGTGTAATGATGTGTGGCGATGTAAACGGTGAGTGACTGGAGGGAAGGATCTAAAAGCTGAAAGTACTAGAAAAAGACGAGGCGAAGACGGGAAGCCCACCCAAACAAGATAGATGAAGCGTTTCCAGTAGTGAGATGAGAAAAATGATAGTTCGTTATGGGATCTTTTTATGTGGACCGATTCCGAATTAAGAAGCTGTAGAGCGATAAAACGAAAAAGCATAAAGACAATGAAGAGGCCTAAATAAACGCAATAACAGTGGTGAAACGGTGCACTTATTTGTCAGATTCATCATCATCATCATTACACGTTAGCTGGAGGTGGAAAACACCTCAGCTATTGTGCCGTAATACAAAAGGCAAGAAAAGAAAAAAAACAAACAGTGCCACGCCCGCTGAGTCCCCAGTAACGGATGGACATCGTTCCGGAGAGCTAACAGCTGGCTGCCGTAAAAGAAAGTCATATTATGCCTAACGATTGAGATCGTGATTGGAGGGGGATGCTAAACAGGAGGGGGATGGACAAAGGAACTCACAACACAAACGCCATTGGGGCCGGCTCCTAGCCATATCAGCAAGTGTGTCCAACCAAACGTGTTCACCGTCCTTAGGACCCCAACCAGGCAGTCGGGATGCACCAACCGACGCCAACTTTGAAGTGAGGGTTTTCATTTCTCTCGACCAAGTCATCACTTGGCCTCCCCTCCTCCTCTTCCAACCGCACCCACAACGCGCAAACAATGCACGTCGTGGGAGTCGGTGTGCTGGCATGCGCAACACGTGGCCCAGCCATCGGAGCCTGGTGCGTGATATAATCGTGCTGAGCGGTTCACTCGCTCTTCCTGCACCAAATACGCGATGTCGAACACGCTCATTGCTCACGCGGTGTTCCCACCAGACATGAGCTAAGCTGCGAAGGCAGCGATGATCGAATGTGACGAGTCTCTTCAAGTCTGTCGACCTGATGGGCCAGGTTTCACAGCCATATAGGAGAGTTGAACGGACGGCTGCGTTGTAAACTCTGCCCTTCATGGCGAGAGTAATGTCGCGTCTGCGCCACAGGTGGCGGAGATTGGCAAAAGCACCTCGAGCTTTTGCTATACGGTTCGTAACCTCATCTTCAATCCCACGGGTGCTAATATAGCTGCACCCAGGTACTTGAATTCCTGAACGACTTCTAGCAGATCACCACCAAGCGTTAGCGCAGGGTTGGGTCCCTGCCAATCTTGGAGAAGTACTTTGCATTTCGATGGAGCAAAGCATAGCCCAAAACGATTGACAGCCAGTGCTAATCGGTTCAGTGCTGTTTGGCATGTTTGGGAGCTGTCACAGATTAGGGCAATATCGTCTGCATACTCCAAGTCAAGAAGTCGCTCACCAGGGAGTAGCCCCACACCTTCTAGATCGTGTCCAGCGAACGCTGTTTCCATGACTTCATCAATAGCGAAGTTGAAGAGGAAAGGTGACAGCGGGCATCCTTGTCTCACACCGCTGGTGATACTGAAGGGTGACGAGAGTTTGCCATAAACCCTCACCCTGCCCGAACTATGTGCGTACAGCGCTTTGATAATGTTTACATATTTATCAGGCACACCTTTCCTCAACAGACAGTCCCAAAGGGCACATCGATCGACTGAGTCGAAGGCACCTTTTATGTCAAGAAACACGACAACGGTGGGTCGCCAATGAACATGGCGGTGCTCCAACACTTGACGCAATGTGAAGATGTGGTCGATGCAGCCCCGACCTCGACGAAATCCGGCTTGCTCTTCACGAATCTGGCTTTCACGAGTGCCAGTCAGTCTGTGGAGAATGAGAGAGGCAAGCAATTTAGAGGCAATCGAAATCAGACTGATCCCTCTATGATTGCCACATTCTAAACGGGAGCCTCCCTTGAAAATTGGGACAATGACGGAGCGGTTCCAGTCTGTCGGGACTGTCTCCTGCTCCCAAAGTTTTACTAGCAACTCGTGTAGATCATCTACTAGAGCAGGTCCACCGAATTTGAAGAGGGCTGGAGGAATTCTATCTGCTCCTGCGGCCTTATGCAATTTCAACAGCCTGATCTCACGTTCGACTTCTGCGCGTGAGGGCGGATCCAAGGAGACGGCCCAAGGAGAAGGGCGCTCAATGCCCGAAGAAAGCGATAACTCAGGTTGGTTAAATTGCCTCGCAAAGTGTTCAGCCCAACGCTCCAAACGTTTTGACAGGCTGTGGATCATCTGCCCACTCTCGTCGCGTATGGTCTCGCTAACACCAGGTCTCCTGCTGCCTGTTGCCCGTATCAGACGGTATAACTTACGATGATTACCAATGGCAGCGGCTGTTTCCATCTCAGAGGCACGATGAGACCACCAGGTTTCGCGGTCCTTCTTTAGGCTAGCACGTAGTTTCGCCCTGAGATTTTTGCGAGCTTCATTGTATACGCTTCCAGCCGGAATACGTCGGCGAGCATCCATAAGTTCCATAGACTGTGTAGAGACCCAATGTCCGGTTTTGCAATTTGTTTTGCCACATGAAGACATGCCTGCTAATAGCAACGCTTGACGAGTATGCGACCAGTGATCTTCAACGGTGTTTAGTGGGCGCTTACTCAGCCCAGATGTCAGCGCACTTTGGTACACATTCAGAACATCTGGCTTCGCCAGCTGGCTGGTGTCAATCAGTTCACATCGACGTCGCGGACGTCCACCGAAACGCACCAGGAGGTCGGCGCATACAAGTGCGTGGTCAGAGTCCACGCTCGTGCTCCAAATCGAGCGACAGTTTTGGACAGCCTCTCCAGCGGTAACTGATCGCGATATGATCGATTTGCGTCCATGACTGGCCCGAGGCTGGTGGCCGCCAAGTCACACTTCTGCGGGTGCTGTGTCGAAAGTTAGTGCTCGCGAGAAACAGGCGAGCATCTTCACACAGCTGGAGCAATCGCTCACCATTATCATTACGGGAGCCTACACCATGTTGGCCGCCCAGATGAAGCTCATCAGAGGACAATTTTCCGACTTGGGCGTTTAGATCGCCAGCCAGCACCACAGTATCCGTGCTTCTTCTGTAATGAAGGAGCTCGTGAAGTTGCTGATAGAAATCATCTTTTACCGAATCAGTGCTACAGTTTGTAGGGGCGTAGGCCGCAATGACAAACAGGCACCGTTTGTCCCCGCGCGACTTCGTAACATGGAACGAACCAGCTAATCTAACGGCGCACATTCTACTGTTTACTGGGATCCAATCAAGCAGGGCAGCTTCAGCCCGGGGACTCAAAACAATGCCGACGCCAGCTTGACCGGCATTTGAAGCTGTATCATCGCCAGATAGGCGCAATGAGAATGTGCCGCCAGTGTCGCATGTGGGGGATCTCAGGGTAAGCACGGAGCTCGAACCTTGCAGGCGGGTTTCTGATAAACAGCAAATATCGATCGATAGGGTCTCTAGTGTGCGGGCGAGTGCTGCCTGTTGGCCAATCTGCAGCAAAGTGCGCACGTTGAGGCATGCCAATCTTAGCGAGACACGAGGACTACAAAGGGAAACGGATGAACTGACGTTGTCCGCTTGGTTGAACATGGACTTGTCGAATGGAATGGAGCGAGGCCCTGCGATTGTGTGTGATTTGAAATTAGAAGACAAGCGACTATTGAAGTAAGCTGGGGGAGGGCCAAGAATTGGGGGATTGAAAATGGGGGGGATATAAGTAAAGTTGGAGCGGGACAATAAGGATGCAGAAGCGCAAGAAGGGGTATAAGAAGACGGGAAGGCCTGAGCAGTAGCATCCAAACCCCTATCCACCCTGCTCGAGGCAGCAGATAGGGCGCCGTTTATTATCCTCTGCGACGGCCAGAGCATCAAGAAATTGTTGTAGGAAAGGTTCATTGTATTGCGTGGGCAGAATACTGTCAGGTTGCCCAGGCCTAGACAGGAGAACGATTAGGGTTCTCAACCAAAGCCTTTGGTTCAAAAACCTTACCGCAAGGCAGCGGGTTTTGGCACTGGACAACAGAGTCCGTTTTATGAAATGAGGAACCACCCCCATTCCAACCCCCAACCTGGAGGACCAGGAGGCTGAGTTTGTCTGGCCTCTAACCATTGACCAATCTGGTATGAGTGGCTCTAAAGGTGCAAAAAAAGCACCACCCAGCATAGCTCAATGGATCTCTGAGGCACGCAAACCATCGCACCACGGTAAGGTCCAGCCTCATTGCGGTAAAACAACGCATGCGACGTCAGACAGCAGTGGCAACAACGAAGTAAGAGCATCACCACAATCATCATCATCAGCATTGCAGGGATCGGTAGCTCCTTACAAGCAGAGTGCAGCAGAAACTGTCTCAGGAGGAATAAATGGCACAGTTGTATCCATGTAACATAAGAGGGTGAATAAGGTGTACAATGTTTGCCCTGTAGTAGGTGCAAGCTCAAAGTGAGCAGGAAAAACAGTCGAATCAACTTAGCTCCACTGAACACCTAGTTGTCAACGCTCAGACGGTAGTTTGAGTATTCGTTCCTCAAACGATAAAAGTGCAAGACCGAACGTTTGGCTCGAGGGAGCCCCATATGTAGGCCTGTGAGCAGATTAAAATCTCATTTAATTGATAGCAACCTAGACGGGGCCATAGAAACTACCATGGGTTGATGATGTTATGCGTTAGAAAAGGTGACACAAGTAGAGGCAGAGTGACACCGGGGTTGAAGTATGGAGACGGAAGTCGTGAGTCTGACAACATAATGTTGTGTATGTACAGGCAAGTAATCGCCGTATGCAGGTTCAATAAGACAGTATCTAGTGAACTGTCGTGCTAATGCCCAGTGTGCTAGAGGCACTGATATGAATTGATTCAAGACACTAATTAGCCCCGTACCGCGAGTACATAATAACCACAGTAAGGTTTGTAACAAGGAGGGATAGTAGAGGGGATGCAATCGTGTATGGAAAAGAGATAGCAGTTGGCACCGATTGCACAATGGCAGTGTGAAGTGGGAAGCAGAGTGACAAATAAGCTGATATTGGTAATCGTTTCGCGCTTCATATGACAAGCTAGCAAATGTGGAATGCGCAAAAAAGGTGACGGAACACTGGAGTTCTTCTTGTCGTGAACAGTGGGATGTAGAAGAGGCGAAGTGTAGTAGAAGTGACGACAGTGTAATTTACAAGGCAGATTAAGATTAGTGCCAATTCAATGTTCCCGAACAACAAGCTTAGTAACCTCGCTCCAGTGTTGTTCAGTCAATTGGAGAATTCAGTTATAATGATTCCAGCACCTAAGCAAAGTAATGGTAGGTCTCAAAGTGAATCTAATTGGACGGACGAATGAGCCGCCATAGTGTTCATCACCGGTTCTGTTGGTGTGAGCTTGTAAATGGACAACATCCGCCGGTAGAAATCCCATCAGACAAAAGGCAGTGAGGAGCCAATGTGGTGTCCTATCACATCGTGATTTGTTAGCAAATACCAACTACACTGTCCATGGACTCTAACGTCTAAAATTGATTCTTTTCCGATTGAATGGTTTAGTTGATTTACTCTCAATCGTCGATTCGAGCCGTTCTCAAGCTACAAAACCGTGGCAACACGAGTGGGGGCAATTGAACCTACTGTAATTAGGCTATCAGGTCATATTTAAGTAAGTAATGTGGAAGAGGCTAGAGAAAATACCCTAGGCGGTATGCGCTATGTGTCATAGTCACAATCTAGGAGGAAACAGTAGCTATCGATCAGACAGCTAACATAGGTAATCAATAACGCTTTCGATACATGATATTTGTTTAATAATCTATTCTCTGGATTTCCGTCATACATTCTGACAAGTCATAGGCGCTGAATTCCTATCTCGACCTGAGAATGGCACGGACGAGGAACACAGTGGGTCAGACCATCGTTTAAGTAAGGCGAACAAGTAAGCGGATAATGGAGAAAATGCAACCTTCACACAGCGAGTCGTTCGAATGTGTACGAGCCCACAGTGCTAGAAGAGTGGGAGACTGCTCGGTTGCATAAGGCTGGATTCGAGCAATAAAGCAGCTCAGATAGATCCTCTGGCCGAATGCCGTGAGCGCAGACTATTAGATTTTATGGGACGGATAAGAGCCCAGTAGATTCGGTACCATCACATACGCACACACTGAGGACAAGATTAGGAAAAGGAAAATCACGACCGGGGCACAAGGGTATAAATTAAAGGAGTCAGATTGACTGCGATTGAGATTGGCTGAGCTGTCGGCTCTACCGAATTGTACCAAATCACTTCGACACGTCGCCTGTAAAACAGTGGTCAGCGGGGACGGAATGATGATGCAAAGATAAAGTTACGAAAACTGGCGAATAAAGAGGGGACCTGGATGGCAAAGTCGGTACTCACTTTAACATATTGAAAGCCATTTGGTTGACATGTGGATGGGCCGGATCAGTGAGGTAACGAAACTGGGAGCGATGGGGGAAATTTGTAAAGACAGTAGATCAAAACAACTGCAGCTGAATGCGATGGAAGAAGTTAAACCAAATACTGCATGGGCATGGCGGGTCACACAAGGCACAAGTACAGGAATCATAGTGTGAATGTGTGTGAGCAGCGAGCATTCCGATGAAATGTCTGCAAGAATCCCAAACTAAAACAGCCCAACGACAAATACGGTACACTGTTAGCTATCGATGACATCCAAGCTTACTCGTTCATTATGTCGGGAGTGATCGACGTCGGTTTGCATCATAAAACATCGGACCGGAACGTTAACCTCTCTACCCACTTTGATGTATCTGGAGCGTGACTCAACATCTAAGTTGGTGTTGTCCACGACGACGGATACTCCCTCGGATAGACTATCCGAGCAAGATTTCACACATTTTTGCCATGTGCCAAGGATATCCTGTGAAGCGCAAGAGAGCAGGCACCATGTTGAAGTACAGAAGGAAGGCAAAAGCATTAGCTAAACTACTGTCACGATATCCATAAGGAGTCCATTCACTAAGCAAAATCGGTTAAAGTGATGGGGAGGTTGTCAAAACACAAAAAACGACGACCAGGGAAAGTGACACTTTGTGGCACTATATACTTCTAAAGATTCTTGAATAGCCAAAAAGGGGGCTAGATCGAAATTCCGGAGCTATAAAAATAAACACTAAAGCTAGGTACCGAGGAATATCGGTTTCAGTTTATCCGGGTTAACTGATGGACCTGCTTTTAGTGAGGGGTGTTCTATACCTGGTCGGTTATTGAGAATGAGGCATGTCACAATCGCTGCCGGGGAGTGGGGCCAGAGAAATGGAGACGGGCACACAAGTAATTGGAAACCGACTCACGAGTGGGAGCGTCGGGCGAACGAACACGTCCCCGGAAAAAAATAACAGAGACCAGTGAAGACGACGCAAGTGCGCATCAAAGGTCAGCACAGCATAAATTTGGCTTACTCGACTAACAATCCGATACCCCAAAGGCGCCAACACTGTCCGACAGAAATACGATTTCCCAGCTGAAATATTGGCAAAGGGAACGTTAGCGAGGTGGGTCTCTCAGTTGCTGCATGCCATATTGCAATATTAAGCAGTCCGAGGCGGATTCAACAAGAATTTATGTTGCTGCGACGCGGGGATAGTTAACGTAACTTGCGATAACACATGGTCCAGGGAACACAGTGATCAAACGAAACCAGCTAACCTGGTAGGTGGAACAATCGCCCTGAAATTGCCTAACCAAATGAAGGGTAAATATAGTGTTAGAAATTTCCTGTCAAGGTACTACTAAAATGCAGGGAAGGTGGGTAATACATTGCGGAAATAACAGGGTGGACGATGTAAAACAGTACGGATAGTAGACTCACAAGCCGGATAGCCGACCATAACAATCAACTCAGTTTTCGCAGGCTGTGTGAATAAAGGGAGTTCCGGTTGCACGTGTTGCAACAAAGTGTTGGGGTTGAAAGCAGGTAGGGAAAAATTTCCAGTTCCATTCTGTCCAAACCAAAGTTCTTCCGGAGTGAGGAAGGGCAGACCCAAATTTAAAGCGAACTGTGAAGGTGGATGGAAGATATTGAGAGTTAGGATATCCATAGGCTCGAATCAGTCAGGTCAGGCGTATGAAGCACAGGTATAGCAGTGATAAGAAGGAAACAAGGCAAAATGTCATACGGCAACTGTGAGGCAAAAAACGTAGGGAAAGAGGACTGGTGATTGTAGTGTCGCAAAAGTTACCAGGCATGAGTGCGTGTTCACAGAACCTAGCGCGATATAAGACGCACAACAGTACAGTAGAGATCAGGGGCAGAAGTATTTTTAGTCCACATTCAGTTTGTTGAGTCGAGTCAAACGAAATCACTTCCTGCAGTCGTGACGCCATGAAACTATCGGGTTATCAATCGAAAGTGAAAAACAGGAAAAACAACACAGAATAAAAGGGGCTTGTTACGATTGCAACTGGGAACATGGAGAGAAAGAGAGAGAAGAATTAGAGTGAGCCGGGTAACTGTGGCGAGCGTACCAGATAAAAACGAGCATATTATGGCTATTTCCAGTTGAATAGTACGGAAGTAAAGCAATCCTTGGTTAAACACATGGCTGGCCGCAACAGGTGTGAAGACGATTATGTAGATAAAAAGAGAATCAAGTGATCAAGGGATTTCCTTTGAAGCTCGATGGAACTGCCCAGGTAACGCTCATTCAGTGACCGCGCTGGAAGCTAATATGCCTTTCAGAAATCCCTGAAGGAGAGGTAAAAGGGTTACTAGGAGCACCTGCTCGAAAATCGGGTAGTAGCGTGCGTTTTACGCATACAAAGTGATATGTTCAGATCCTGTCATAGGCGGTAAGCACTTGATGATGAGTAACTAACCACAACCGTCCCCTCAACAGTTTATTTTTCAAATCGGCGACAGAAGCGGATCTGGAGGAATTCTAAGATATAGTTACCGCACTATTGTTTGAAAATGGACCATAGAATAATGTAGTTGCGGACAACTGACTGTGAACAATCCACCGTGGGTAGCTGACTACTTCCTCTGAAAATAGCAACTGTGCAAAACGCTTGGTCTGAAAAGCAGCCAACCGGGTGTGAGTGAGAGAACGGACCAGGAAAGAACTGCAAGACAGCTGTGCCTATGAGGTGAAACCGATGTATAGATACTTAGTTGGGTACACTAAGAGGTACTCAAAAATTCGCACGAGGGCTTCCTTAAGAGATCGAAAGGAAATGAAGTTCAGTGAATAAGGAGCATAATGTGATGATGCTACAGCAAAGAAAGATACCTAAACCGACTATAAGGAATGGACATTGTGACGGCCATTGACGAAGTCATTTGGAAAGACCCCAAGGTGCAGTAATCGAACTACCCATTGATGGTCCGATCAGGTGACACTCACGAGTCAATCGGGCGAAATCGATAAACCTTGATTTGATGCGACAATGCTTACACATTGAGTAGGGGCGAATGGGCCGTCAAATGCTACCGAGCGGTGAAAGATCAAACGATAAGAGGACTGACGTGATGACAAGGTAGACCTAGCTGTAATGAGTAGCGATTCCCAGTAGATGGTAACTAGTGTTATACATGTCAAGGCGGGCTCTGATTGCATGCAAAACAGACATTCAGATAGCGTATCGCAGTACTTTAGCATGAGTAGAGTTACCAACAGGTCTTCGAGATAAACAAGGCGTATGTGTTTAGATGACAATGTGGGAACCTTAAACAGAAAGAGCAATCAAAAAGCTTTAGAAAATAACAAGTAACAAGAGTCCGATATAAGGTAAACCAAAAGCAAGCGAGTCCAGTGAGTGCTTACCAAACGATCCACGCACGAATGATCTTTCCGCCTTGAGCCCTCGGCAGGACGCCCGGCAGCATCTGTAAAAAGCAGGGTAGTCGGTTTTAGGATGATCTTTCTCAACCGAACACCCGAGACGATTGGAGACTAAACGGAACATATAAAAGCAGTCAATAGTGTGACAGAGACCGCTCAACAGCATAGAGAGGATTTCTGGTGACAGAGGTCCACACACTATGCCGACAATCAGAGACGCAGACTGTGATGGATGTCGATACGTTAGTTGCCAGTCCCCAGCACAGGTCGTCTGTGAGACTAACAAGCAAACGGAGGGTGCAGCACTTCGTTTGGCGGTTAATACACTAGACAACCAGAGGCACGGACAACCCACGGGTAGAAGACTGCTGTTTGGACGGGCGAAGAAACATATCAGACACCAAGCCAATCCGCATCGCCGGAAGTCAGAGTGAGAGCAGCTGTATTAAAGACACAGACCGAAATTACAGGCCGAAGGGTATAGACCAATGGTACACGAACACCGAGAAACGGCCCGCAAAGCTAATCAACATCACCGTCACGAACGGGTCGCGGTTGTATGAACGACCGAGGGTCGAGGAACGCAGACCAATGAATGCAAACGCATGGCCAGTGTGGAAGCCAGTGAGACGCGACGCAGAAAAAAGTAATATGTAGTGTAAAAGGAACCATAGCCCAGCAATAGAGATTTTCGTGTCGTTGAACAGTCTTCTTCCTGCATAACAAAGAGCCGCTCTGTTTACAAATAGTACCTCCGAAATTGACCAAGGTAAGGTGTAAATGTGTGAGGATACGGGAACAATCCGACAGGGGTAAACAACGAGAACGATGTATGGCATCAATTGAAATGTCTGCAAGCAGATCGGCCGTAAACACAAGCGCTATGTGCTCAACGAAACAACTAATAGGTGCCACACCTATAAAAAGCTTTGATTAAAGAAAATTCCGTTATGACGAATTCAAAATGTCCAGCGAGTGGTGACGTGTGTGAGTCACTCCAACAAATTCGGTAACAGATTGAGAGAAACCACAAACTGGCGCAGACTGAGGTGCGCTCCGTGGGGGACGACTGTTAGTGGAACAGAACGGAGCGAAAGCCATAAGCAACCGGCCGGAGTGTGAGCGCAGAACGCGCGAGTGTCTGCTCGGGACGAGTGTCACACGTACCGCAAGCTCCGTACAGACTGGCCCATTGATACACGAAAGTGTTGAAGTTGGTTGACCGCTTCATGCAGTCCGGTATAGTTGGTAGGAAAGGTGGTCCCATTGGAGATGTAAACATTTAAACTTTGCTGTACTTGAACACAATGACACCAATGTTCTCGAGGGATTGTCAATCACCCGCTCGACAACAAGTGGTGTTCCTTAAAATGATCCCATTCCACCATTTCCATCCAACTATCTTAGACCGAATCCTAGAGTGTGACTATGTGCATTTTAATGATGTAATGGTAGTTCTGCCTGTGGGAGAAACTGGTTTGACATTGGCGTAGGCGATACAGGCAAAACTGAATAAACGATCCGAGTGGTGCTACTCTTTGACAAGTGTTTCGCATCATCAAAAGCTGTTACAGGAGCAACAGCCGCTTGTTTGCAGTCTGACTTGACAACGAGAAGCCAAAGACAGTGGACCAAAGAGCTTAGCTTTGAAGTCGCATCAGTAACGACAGAGGCGAGGCTGCTAGATCTAGTGTCGAGAGTGGCGTGGACTGCCATGGAATCTAAGACATAAGTCATCAGCATCAACGACAGCAGTACATCAGCCATTTGAGCTGATGCTTCGCTGCCATAACGACCTATGAAATAAAGAATAATAAGAGAGCGAAGCGGAACTTAGCAGAAAACCGTCATGCCATACACAAACATTCAGGGTCAAGGCGCCTATACTATGTGTAGAAAACATACCGTCACAAACAGCTGGCTATCGTGCAAACATAAGGCGGCATCGGCGAGACAGCTTCCTTGTGGATTTCACTGCCTCACGTCATGATCAGCCATTACCCCGCAGATAACTCAGCAATAAACACACTTTAAACAGACAGTCCGAGTAGGAGACGACAGCAGACACGCCATTGGTGTCGGCTGCGAACCATGTCCTATAAAGTCTCGAGCCAAGCACAAGGCGGGTCACGTGGACTCCAGCCCGGAAGGTGAGACGGACCGACGGCACCCAGTTTGGTCGTCAGTGGCTCCATTTTCCGCTGCCAAGTCAACTTCGGTCCCCCTCGAACCTTGCGCTACCCTATATCTGGCAGACAAAACAAGGCCCTCCTAGGTAAATGGTGACCAGGCATACGTGGTACGTGCCTAAGCTAACGCAACTTATTCAGTGCTATCCGTTGTGCTAAGGGAGTAGCTTGGTTATCACTGCCTAGTACTCGCTTACACACATCATCGTTGCAGACACGCTGGTGCCACCCGACACCAGCAATGCTCCGCAGACAACGATCGTCAAAGTCTTGAAGGCGCCTCAGATCTTCAGACCGAAGGGGCCAAGCTTCACTACCATAGAATAGGACGGCTCTCACCGTGCCCTTGTAAACACGGCCTTTCAGATAGAGGGAAACTCCATTCAGTCGTCAAAGATGCCGCAGGTTCAAGAAGCCAGTTCTGACTTTTGCCCTCCGTGAGTTGACGTCAGTTTCTATGCGCCCATCGTTGCTGATGCAGCTGCCAAGATAAGCGAATTGATCAACCACCTCAAGTTCCTCGTTAGCAAAGGTCATTAAGTGACTGGTAGTCCTGCAGCAACACTTTGCACATTGGAGGTGCGAAGCACAGACCAAATAATGGGACCACTCGGGATTGCCTGTGCCGTCGCAACATCAACGAAAAGCAAGAGGATATCGTCCGTATAATCAAAATCAACTAATTTTTCACCAGGCAGGACCTCAACGCCTTCATCGTAAAATTCCGCAAGCGAAAACTCCATGATGGAGTTCACGACGAAGTTGAACAAAAACGGGGAAATCGGACAATCCTGAGAAACGCAAGTTGTTGTCGGAAAGCTATTCGACAGGTCACCGTAGACCCTGACGCGCGCTGTAGTGTACGAGTAAAGAGGAAGTAGGATGCTCCAATATTTTGTGGGAACACCTATCCGCGCAAGGATTTCGAACAGAATGCATCAATCGACTAAATCGAACGCGCTCTTGAAGTCGAACAACACAGCTTTGTCGGTCTGCGGTACGTGTGGCGCTGCTCTAGCACCTGCCGCAAAGTGAATATATGGTCTACACAGCCACGGCCTGGGCGAAAGCCTGTCTGATCTTCTATAATCCGGGATTCCCGCTCCACCGTGAGGCGACGAACGAGAATTGAAGCCAGTAATTTTAACAACTAGCGTTCGGCTAATACCCCTATAGTTAGCATACTCGGTGCGACTGCCTTTCTTAAACATCGTTGCCATAATTGATTCATTCCACTTAGCTGGGATTGTCTCTGCTTTCCAGACAACCTTGAACAGGTAGATCAGTGCTTTGCAGAGGACCTCATCACCATCGTTAAATAGTGCAAGTGGCAGGGAATCCGGACCAGCAGCATGAAAACGATTGAGGGCTGTGATCGCGTTTCGCAACTCAGCCTCCGATGGAGCCTGTAAACTAGCCGGTCATGGCTCATCCTGCATCATCTGAGTAAGAGGAGGTCCGGGAGCAAGGGGCTAACTGAACTGATCTTGGATCTGTTCCGCTCAACGAGCCATACGGCGCTCTATATTGTGAAGTAAAGCACCCACACTGTCTCTGTCTCACTGACACCTGGTTTCCTGAGACCGGTGGTGCGTATCAGCTGGAAGAGCTTGCGATAGTTCCTTATTGCTCCCGCCTCCTCCATTTCTTGAGCCTCACTGGTCCATCAGGCTTCCTTGTCAGAAGGCAGGCTCCGCGTTAGTTCGCATCTAACAGTCCGTTTGGTCACATTGCGCTCAGAGCCAGCCGGGAGGTGTCTTCTGGATTCCAACAGGTTCACCGAACTCTCGGATATCCAGTGACTCGTGCGGTGACGATTGATAGTGCAACAAGCAGATGTTCCTGCATCGTGCATGGCAGCCGAGATCCTATTCCACTGAAGCTCAGTGTCATTAGAACAAGACAGCGAAAGTTCGGTACGCAGTGCGTCTTGATAGACTTGCCTGACCGAGGGCTGAGACATTTTTCAGTTGCTAATAGGGGGAGACGATCGGTGCGCCTCCCGGTAAAGTTCATGGAGAAACAACAGCATGATCGGAGTCGACGCAGGTACTTCAGAACGAGTGGTAATCCAGGATGGAACCAAGTCACCTGAAACTTATGGCAATGCGATCAATTTGCGTCCATGGCTGGCCAGCTCCTGGAGGACGCCAAGTGGTACTTCGGCGCCCACTGTATCCAAAAGTGGTGATACTAAGAAACTACTGGTGCTCCACACACAGTTGAAAAAGACGCTCGCCGTTGTTAGTCTGTTCGGAGTTAAGCCCACAATTACCTCCTATCTAAGATTCCGAAGAGCCCAAGCGACCTATTTGTACATTCATATTCTCTGCAATCAGTATGACATCTAAACTAGTAGCATTGAGTAGTAGCGCGTTCAGTTCGTGGCAGAATGTGTCCTTGGCAGCATCAGAACTGCAGTTGGTGGGAGCATAAGCGGGAAATGCAAACAAACAGCGTCTTGTACTACTTGGTGAAGCAACCTTACTTGATGTCGTCAAACGGCTGTTCACCGGAATCCAATCAAGCAACAACGGCTCAGCCTTGGAGCTTGGAATGATCCCTACCTCAGCTTGACCCGTGAGTGCTGCATCAGCGTCTCCTGATGCATGCAACCAATAACGAGAGGATAAGCCGGGTGCAGTTAATTCAATAACCCCGTTAGGGTCATTGATCCTAGTTTCGGACACACAACACACATCAATACCCAGTGTGTCCAACGTGTTTGCGAGTGTAGCCTGCGAAGGTTGAACCCCGCCAGGGAAACGGGACAGCGTGTCCATATGAGGGAATGTTGACGATAGGTGTCCGCTGGGTGTTGCGAACCGCTAAGCACCGCTGTTTCATGCACCAGG